CGTGGAGGTGGAGGTGCTGCAGAAGCCGTTTATCTGCCACAGGAGGACGAAGTGGGGGGACATGATGCTGGTTCATTACGAGGGCTACTTGGAGAGGGATGGCTCCATGTTTCACTCCACGTAAGCCGGTGGCCTTTGAGCGGGCTGGTGGGAGAGGTTGGGCGGAGGGGGGAATAAAAGCAAAACAAAACATCTTATGTATTTTAATATAGGCGAGCTCTTTTGGCAGTGCTTTTCTGAATTTGGGCTCCTCACAGTGGCCGCAATCCATCTGTGAAATAGCTCAGTGAGGAGTGTTTTGTTGAGGGCGGGTGACTTTTTTATTTTATTTTCACAATTACCACCCTTTCCACTCCCCTCAAAATAACCCTTACATTTACCTGTGTGCAAGGAAACAAAAGCAATACTTGCATGTTCATAGCATGTCTTAGGTTTTATTTGTTACTGAATTAAACTAGCTTAATGCTGCACAAACCTGTTAGTGGGACCCTATCCACTGCCCTCTATTTTCAGAAAGTTTGGTTTGCCTTTCTACTTTTAGGAAGTTGTTTAGGAAGCACTGACTCACATTGCTGTTAAAGATGAACAACAACAGTAAAACTATATCTTTTTCCCTTGCCAGATAGAGGTTCTGATATACATATTATTTAGCTTTTCTTTTCTGCTTAGTCTGTAGAAAGCAGAGCCATGTGGCATTTGTTATCTGGATGAGGATGTTACGCGTCCTCTTCTCCAATTTAGACAGAGGTTTTAGTATATGATCTCAGCGGTTTCATAAATCTTCTGCTACGCATGAATTTGTGTCTGGTTTCTAAAGAAACTTCTAGGGGAGAAGTTTGCCTCTACTTTAAAATAAAAATTATATATATCCTTGCACTTACTGGCAGTACAATGACAGCTTTTCATTAATGAAACGGCATATTCTTCACCTGCCCTCGACCAGGCAAATCAACATACCGGAGCCACAGTAATGCAAGTAGGAGGAAGAGCCAGAAATTCAAGAGAGTCTGCTAAGAGACTGCAACGACTTGCTAATGTTGCCTTTCCTGTAAAACATCAACGAGGTGTTAATAGTAGGAGACAGCAAAATGCTCAAGTATCTGTAGGCTATGTCTGAAGTATACTTTTGTATAACATTTTAAAAAAATGTTTTGCACGTTTATGCTCTTGCAGACGATTTAAACTAAATTCTCACTAATTTTCTCTTGTAGTTAACCTGCCTTTCTAAAAGGAGTTCTAGTGACACTCTTAAGTTTTTGCTGCTGACTAACTTCTGTAAGTGCTCTGTTTTCTTGTTAAGTGCCTTTCCTGCATGACTAGTCAATAGAGCTTTTAAAATTCTGTGTCTGTCAGTAGAGTGAAAGTAGTCCTGGTATACCACCTGGTTAAATTGGAAAAGGGGCTTGTCTGCTTATTTTAAACATGAATGTTTTGCATGCATTTGCTTGTTTCTGGTTTTTTTGTGTGGTGGTTTTTTTTTACTATCTGTTGTTTTTTGTGGTTTTTTTGGTGGTTTGTTTTTGTTGGTTTTTTTTCCTAATGGCTTTTTTAGAAGAGATGTGGCTGATTCTTCTAAGCATGTTATAAGGTATATTGGAATCATGACTAAGCTGGGTTTTGATTTGCAATGTACCAAAGAATATGCATGGCCTTGAATGTAGATTTTTAGATAGAAATGGCTTTCTGGTCTGATCAAGGTTGAAATAGGTGATCAGGGAAGTGAAGGTGGGGATGGGTGTCCTCCTAAACACACCATGTAGATGTTGTTTTATTCCTTCCTACTTCTTAAGGAACCTTGTCATGCAAGGCATAAATTTTAAAATACTTTAAATGTTTAGGTCTTTCATTTAAGAAATGCCAAGGTGCCAAATAGTGGTGTATTTTTAATTGTATATCTATGCTGCTTCGTGTGCCTTTTATGGAACTCGCTGTCTTTATTAAGACTGTTTTATTCCATTCTTTTCCAGTCACAAGCATAACAATGGTCAACCTATGTGGTTTACACTTGGCATAAGGGAAGCTATCAAAGGCTGGGACAAAGGTTTGAAGGACATGTGTGTGGGAGAGAAGCGGAAGCTAACTGTTCCACCAGCCCTTGCTTATGGAAAAGAAGGGAAAGGTAAAACACCTGAAGTCCTTCCCTTACTTTAACTTGTTTTAATCTCCATATTAATGTCATTCTTGGCATAAGAGGTTAGCAAGCTTTCAAGCTTTCCAAGCTGATTCCATTAAATAAGAAAAGTTGATGTAGTCAAGTGCTTTCTCTCACAAATTTGTTTTCTGCAGAAATAACCATTAAATGATTACATGGTGAATGCAGAAAAAAAAACCCATGCTGTATGTTCTGAGTGTCTTTTCTGTTACTGCTGTGCTCAACAGTGCTCTGCATGTTTTTTCCTTGCCTTTCCCACCCTCTGTTTTTTACCATTAAGCTGGAAGTGGTTGCTTAGGTAACAATTGGCTTTTTGGCTGTTGCATCTGTGTTTGTGGTAATAATTCATTAATGTGCATGTGCAAGCCTCATTCTTGCTTGCAGGTTTCTTTTAGAACCCTAAGAAACTCCCTGTACTGCTACCCAACCAGTTCTGAGCTGATACAGAGAAAAGTCACCATTTATTTCTCCATATAGGAACACTTAATTCTTTATCTCTTTTAGTGACTTTCAGTTTGGGCAGTAGTGCCTGTTATCCAGAATATGATATGCAGGTACATGGGCAGTCATGTTGGCACCTGCTGAAAAGATGTTGAATGGTGTACAGACAGATAAAAATTTTGGTCATAGTGTTTTCACTACTACTGATGGTGGTTTGGGATTTTCTTTACAAAGATTTCCAGATTCCTATTTTAATGGGAGGGCCTTCCTGGTACTGTTCTCTCCTATTAATCTGAGACTGCTTTAGGAATGAGGACTGTTTGCATGTCTGTATCTTCTGGCAAGTTGGGCTGAACAGAGGCTAAGTAGTACTTCATACACACAGCAAACTCCATACACTTCTTTCTTGAAAGTATCCCTCTAAAAGTGTACTTTTTGAAAATATTGAAAGTATCTCTTTAAAAGTGTGTCTTTCATTGGTTTGGTGTTCAAGAGATAGTATTAGAAGTAATCATGTTTCTAGTAGATAACAGGAAATTTGTGGTGGTCAGTTAGCTGACTGTATGCAGGGCACAACTATAAATTTTTCTACAAGAAGCTATTAAATGCTGCAGTGCTCGCACAGTCATCACAGGCCTAATTGCCTTGATTAATATGTAAAACACTACAGTTGTTCTTCAAAAACTTGCAAGCCTCACCTCTGTTTGGTGCAAGAAGGTCAAACAAGTTAACATTGCTCACTGCTGTAAGAAATTACTTGCTTTATGAAGACTTTGGAGTATTGGGCATAACTATGTTGATATTTTCAAATAGCAGAAGACAGAATTATTCCATTTTCTTCATGCTTTCCTCTGAATACACATAATTTCACTAACCTCCCACCTTGCTTGCTGTCTGACTTAAATGATGATTCAGATGCCTTTTTCTTCAACACTCAGAAAAAAACTACCTATGTTCCAAACTCTGAGCAGGCCACTGTGCCCTGTATTTCCAGAAGTTGCTCCACATTTATTCATCACAGAAATCTACAAGCCTGTTTGTTGCTGCAGCTCAGAGTGTGTTTAACATCATAGCTCCAAAATAACAGATGTGGATTAGTTTTTTTCCCTATTTTCTCAAGGCAATTCTCACAGGAATATTTTTTTTCTATTTTATGTGGCTCTGGCCATGGGAAAAAAAAAGATTCAAGAATGTTGTTGGATAAACCTGCGGTGGTGATTGTTGAACGTGAGCTCATGTCACCACATACTAGTCTCCAACAAAGCTAGATGCATCTAAACTTGCATATGTGCTGCAAGGACTGCTCAGGGCCCAGACTACAGTCAGAAATAGTTACAGTTATCACTGTTACAGGTATTTATCCTTGTAGTTCAAACTGCAGGATGCTTTCAAATAATAGGATTGCTAGAATGTTGATCTGACACATACAGCTTTTATAATGGCACTGCATATGTAATTGGTTTTAACTTTTCTCCATGTTTATCATTTTGGGCAGGAAAAATTCCACCTGAGAGCACACTAATTTTCAACATTGACCTTCTAGAAATTAGGAATGGACCAAGATCTCATGAGTCATTCCAAGAAATGGATCTTAACGATGACTGGAAACTGTCCAAGCAAGAGGTGAGTAGATTACCCTTCATGTGAGCAAACCTAACAGGATGGGATAGTAGAAAGGGAAAGATAAGCTTTGCTTGATTCTGTTAGGGAAGTATCTAAACACTAGCTACTACTGTGCACAGAGCAACTCTGCTAGCAGAATACATGCTATTGAAGAGTGCTTAAGGCAGTTATTTACTGGGCAATGCACAGTATGGGTAATTAGGGCTAACAAGTTGTTAGCATAACTACTGCTCATCATTAATGGTAAAAATACCCAAAAAGTCATTGCTGGCCAGGCAGTCATTAGTCATGCAGGGAAGAGCGAGTCTCTGTTCTTCCCTGGAGATGACTTTCAATATTGCTGCTTCTGTGTTTTGTTTTTTCTTTGCATCTGGAGTTTTATGTCTTTTTGTGTTGATATCTTTTTGGATATTAGTTTTGGACTACTATTTCTGGCTTGATAATTAAGCTTCTATCTGTGCTTTCCTTTTCATGCATGGCTTCAGTGCACATACTTTCTTACACCATAACAACAATTTTTTTTTCCTTCAGTAAAATTAAGTCAAGGATGCACATCTATGCTGCACCATGCTGAGCCTTGGATCCCAGCAGAACTGCTGGACTGGGGGTTCAAAAGCAGCATCAGTAAGCTGAGGCATAGGCATGTGACCCATGTGTACCCTGTGCTTATGGGAGACTTGGATGAAGTAAAACATCTTAGAAATAAAACAAGACTTCAGGGCTTTTTGGAGTTTGTTGCTGATTTACTAATAAACTGAAATTAGAAATTCTTCTGCTGTAGGGCAGGACAGTTCCATAGCACTCACTGTCTGAAGGACATGCATTCAGCACTATTCACCTTCTTGCCTGTTATTTTCAGTCTTTTGCTTTTCCAATGTGCAGAAGTCATCCATGAGAAGTTAGGACAAACCACTGCATTCTTTTTGATTTGGGGCTGGTATAGTTTACTAGACCCAAAAGACTGATCTTCTGTACTGTGCATCAGTGTCAGTGTGTCCAATATTTATCTATTAGAAATGTAAGCAATGACCCTAACAAATACAATAATGTGAAATGAATAAAATGGGCTTGAAACATGACCCATTTATCTTTCTGTTGAACGTCCACTGTTACAATTCTTGTTATATGCATGATATCTGTTTAACAGGTGGGTATGTTGGTAATTATATTCTTGTAGAAGGCTCTGCAGTTTAGGCCACTTGGGATGTCAACAGTTAAAACTTTAACTCAGTAAAAATAATCTGATGTTACTCAAAACACTGCTCACCATTAATAGCTGGCTTAGTGTAAATAACTGTTCCACTAGTCTAAAAGCTACCTTGAATCTTTGTCCTTCAAAGTTTCGAGATTTCTAGAAATAAATTTTTATTAATGTAGTTGATATTAGAGCAGCAAACATTGAGATTGTGGACAGATTTCTGTACGTATTTGGGGTGGCTGTTTACATCTACTGGTTTGTCAAAATGCTAGGATGTGAAAAAGCTGTTTGGGTCTCTGACCAATTGGTAGTCAATAAATTCTGCCTAGCTATTTATGCTTTACTGATGGCAGGTTTTCCTGTCTCATTTTTCAGTCGGATATCATAAAGATATAACAATTGATTTTCTAGTTTTACTGTTGCTTATATTACTAAAGAGTCTTTTATCACTGAACGGGGCTGCAGAATCAGCCAGACGAGTATTATTCTGGCAGAGCCATAGGAAGGTATCTATTGTCCAGTACTACCATCCTGAACACAGTTGCCGTCTCTTATGCTACAATAATCAATTCTTGCACAAGCCTAAAAACATCAGCTCTCTCCTTTTGCCTAATAGGTGAAAATTTACTTGAAGAAAGAATTTGAAAGGCATGGAGCAGTGGTAAATGACACCCAGCACGATGCTTTGGTTGAAGACATATTTGATAAAGAAGATGAAGACAGTGATGGGTTTATATCTGCGAGGGAGTTTACATACAAGCATGATGAGCTGTAGAAAATGGTGGCATAATTTTTTTGACAGAAATGGCAGTGAGTTAGACTGGTTCTCTTGTCTTAATTCTGTGTTTTGGAGTTGACAGCTGCTGTTGGCAAAGAAACACTCTTTGTTTATATAAAGAATTACTGTTCATTATGTACAAATGGTTATGTACTAAATTGTTTTAAACTATTTTAAAGTATGAAAATGTACCTCCTTTTATGCAGCAAAGACTTGCACATCAGTGTTTTTTAAATTTTGTACTAAGTTATTTTTCAGAAATGTAACAAATTTTCCAGTTATCAAACATCCAGAAAATCAAAATCCAGTTCAGAGCCTTTCTGTGACTTGTTTGTGTGTTAAGATCACTTTCAGCGATGCCTTTATGTGTAACTTCTAGTCTGTGACTTAATTACTTGAACTTCCTTTTTGTGTCACTGCTTAAAAAGCAGTGTGCTGACCTTGCTTTTTTTTCTGCAGATTTTTAAAAGCTGTAGTAGAAGGCATCAGCATCTCCTTATACAGCTGAGAAACTGATGCAAAGTTGAATGAGAAAAATGACTATCCTGTGCTGATTTTTAAAGTGTTACCAACCATGCCAATAATTGTCTGCATTTTTCTTTAAATTATGTGAACAAAGTAGGAGTTAAATGTCAGACTTTCCCTTTTAATGTCAGCAACATTCTAGAAAATGTCTTTAATTTGAAAAATAGCAAGTTATGCCTGAGTAGCACAACTTGTTTAATCATTACCCCTTTGCAGTATTTTTACAAGTAGTGCACAAGTGATGTGAATTTTAAATAATAAAATGACTTTTTAGAAAAACAGAGGCATGGGGTAAATGTGCCTTGTCTTTACAAAGGTGGAGACTGAGGATTTCTACTCACACTTTGTGTTTGAACTGTTTCTGGAGAGGAAGAAACACTTTGGAATTGTCCATGGTTTCTCAAATGAGAACGCAGGGTATCTCAGAGAAGGGATTAGCCTGTATTCTGGCACCACTAATATGTGGGTCTCTGAACACAATATTTTACTTGAAAAACGTTGCTTAAGGCTTTGTAGGGACACAAAGCAAATCTAGTTATATGAAATTGAGATTGCTGCATTGCACTAATCCTTAACTGTTGCCAAGTGAGACTCTGCATTCAAGGTTCTCAATGCTGTAGATGAGCTAGGTGTTTTCCCTGCCACCTAGTGTTGCAAGGAAGTATTGGAAGACAAACATCCTGCATATGGATGTTACAAATTGCTGTAAAAGGTGTAAGTGAAGGTATGTAGTGGTCATGTGTGTGTTTTTTTTTTTTTTTTCTTCCAGCATCTGGCATTCTGTGGCTGATTGCTTACATGATAAGGAATTGCAGCCACATACTTTGTTTTCAGTAACCTTTTAGGTCTTCTTCTTCGATGCTGCCATCTAGTTTTCTTAAACCCATTTATACTTTTGCTTCCATAATGTTCTATGGCAGTGAGTTTTATGGTAGAATTGTGTAGGAAAATACTTCCCTTTGCTTTTAGGCTTGTTGCCTGTCCTGATTCTTGTATTGTGAGGAAACATTGAATAATCATTACCTATTTAGTTCTTACCAGTCATGATTTTGCATATTAATACTTTTTTTCATCACTTATGAAAATTAAGCTTGCCTCACCTCAGCTCTCTCAAGGTAGTTTTCATGTTCTGTGCTGGGTTTCTTCATTTTT